CAAGAGTACTTTGAAACACCCTTTGTCATGAACAACACTTTGCGCGGAATACCCATATATGCAATTTCAAGATGTCATAAGTTTTGTGAGGTTTATAAACTGACGACGTTATATATTTGTTAACAGACGATAAAACGTCGTTGACCTCACCTTAGACCGCGTAGTTTTTTCTAGTACCCTCGTACCACACCGCGAGTCGAAAAACGACGTCTACCCTGCACGAAGGACCGACCACCATTAGAATCATAGATGCGTATTGCAGTGACCTCTGAGCCGAGTTGAATAGTGTCGTCGAGTCAACGTCATCAACAATAGGATGTATGACCACTCGGTAGAATGTGAACAATATTGCGAAAGTAACAAAAATAAACATATTGTTACAATGTGATAAAGCTCGACCGTAAAAAGGACCAAAGAAAGCGTACTCGAAATATGTGAGTGCGTGCAGTCGGCGCCGAACGCAATTCGTCGTGCCTGTGCGCGTGTGTGGTCTCGTGCGGAGTTGTCGACTGAATGCGTTGCGCGTCGTCGGTAGTTTGGGTTGCGTGACAAAGTCTGAGGAGACAAACCTTTTCCATTATTCTTTTTTTATTCTTCTTCTACCGAACGTAAGATTACGTTATTTATAAGGGTACAGGTTTAAGTCACTTGTAGAGTATGTGGTGATCGACAGAAAGTTTAAACGCGGAATTAGCGTTAGCTGAGGAAACTTGTTCATGGGTTCCCGGAGTATTCTGTTACTGGGAATTTACTGCAATATATTATATAATGGACTCACGTCACCTTTTCATGGTCTTCTAGGTAATTCACGGACCATGGACAACAAAACAATTTTCTTTGTGAAAAGATGTCGTGACCTAGGTACTTACGTTCACACAATGGTACGGTTAGTAGTTTCGTTGGAAGTAAAATCTCAAAAGTGTATATATTTCAACACAAATGACGTTGAACGTACAACACTGTTATTACTGTTACTTGTTTTTATAAAAGTGTGTATCTGTATGTTGCCCGACCACAGAAAACTATCAGGTAACACAATACAGTACAAAAAAAACGAAAAACGCGTCATTCTTACTTTACCAACAAAAGGTAAAAATAATAATACAGTACATAAATGTTTAAAACAGAAACTTTCAGTATTAGTAAAAAGGAATATTGTTCGCCTATTATCGCGTTTTATGCGAATAAACCGAATTGAAACACCAATTTCCGAAAAATTCGTCTGCGAAAAAAAAGTCACTTTAATTCCCGACTATACAATTTTAAACATATGTCGAAACACACATCCCAATTGTGTCAACCCGTTATGTTATGTATAAAGACGGTGTCTAAAACGGTTATTTTTCTTCGGCCTTTTGTTTCCTTCCGTAAGTTTTGATAAAAGGTTAGTGAGTGACTGGTCTAAAATAAAACGAAAGTAATATTCCGTACGTCCCCTAGCATTCTACGTTTCAAAAAATTAAAATTTAGAAAAATAAATAAATGATTCATCACTTGTAATATTAGACTCCACCTGATAATGATCTATAAGTTTACATACATACAATTACATACAAAGAAAATATTACTGACTTGTGTGCAACATAGTCCGCACTTGGAAAAAAAATAAAATATGGAACGTAAACGTATCATCTTCTTCTACAAAGATCGTACATAACTAATTACAAATTTTTATATTTGATCTCACCTACCGTCCTTTTAAAAATTGCAGGATTTTGGTCTTTACTCTATTGACAAAAGTGGTCGAAAAGAAAGGTAACTGCCATACCAGTTGACAAAAAAACTTCCCGCACAAGATCTAACGCGACTTTTGTCTAGCTCCAAAACTTGTGTTTGCGAATTTCCGACCCCAGTCCATTCAAAACTCTTTGGCCGAGCTCTGTCAGTGAAAAAAAAATACAAGGTACCTTACCCCGACGAATTCGTACGGCTATCGGTTACTTAATAGGACTTCACGAAACTCGTTTTCTTTAGCGTTATTTTTTTATCAGGAGAACACTTCCGCATCATCGACATTTTGCGGTAGCTGGGTTAGTAAAAATCGGCCGCGGCTCCGATTGTTAGTTGACCCTTTAACCGGATTGGACCGGACAGTCCTAGGAACGGTAGACACCGCTGTAATCAGAACTCTTTTAGTTCTGATGAACTAAAGCAGATCGCGTTCACACCGAAATTAGTTCCTGGGGGTGGATTAGGCAAATGAAGCCGCTGACGTCACTTCTTCTTCTTCTGCTTTGGGTTTACTGGCAGGCCGCAAACAACTTCACGGCGTATAATGCCGCCCAAAATCCCGCCCAAAATCCCCAGCCGGAAGTCCCTGGAGTTGGGGACTGGCTTCAGTAGAAGCTGCTGGGACTCCCAGCAGCTTCTACTGAAGCCTTCCGAGTAAATCGCCAGAACGCCGACACCTCCTCATCTCCACCGCTCCCATGTTTTCTTTTGTGTTGCCATAAGTTAGTCTGCGTTTCTGCGCTGAGCTAATGCTAATGTAATAATGCAACACGAGGATAATAAAATGGCGGCTTCACAAAACTTTTTGGGAGTTTTACGGGGCGTGGTTTGCATTCCGCCCAGCCAATCAGACATAGAAACCTTTTTCTCCCACGAAAGTCCCTGCTCTCTAGCAGGGACGGAAAAGGGGGTAAAAAGGTTCTGATGAACTAATTTAGTTCCTGGGGCTTTTTGGTGTGAACGCAAATATATTGTAGTTCTGGTGAACTGGTGTGAACGCGGCTATAGTTCCTGTTACTGTTGCTAAAATCAGTATGATTTGGCTGAAAACACTACATAGCCGATAATTAAAATGGGAACCCTTTAAATATGCAGTTGATGGCTAAGTTAATTTGAAGCTGAGTAAACAACTGAGCGAAAAGCTACACTTTATCCTGTAGGTTAAAAGTCAGCTTCCATAATCTTTCGTTTGGAAAAAAAGTGACAGTATTGTCCTTGTGTGTTGCAGTGTTGGTTACAAATAACTCCTTTTATACATACAATTTCACCCCCAAAACCCCAAGGTAATCTACATTGTCAATGGTGTCCTCACTGGCTTTGTTTGCTAATGCTTTGTTCATGCTTTAAGTGGTGGGCTGCTTAGCCGGACATGCTAACGCTAATAGCGTCACAGCAGACCAACCCTATTAAATCCTGTCACTTTTGTGTTTGAAGGTAGGGTTATGTTATATTTTGGTAATATACCTAAGATTTATAAACAGTTAGGGTTTCGTCCTTATTCTAAATATGTATGAACTCAGTATACATACACAGTACAACACAGTTGATTCGATATCCTCCACTTCCTGCTCCAACAAAGAACTGGCACACTAAATACAAGTAAACATTGGGGCAAAGTGCTGCTGCTCCAATAAATATGAACAACAGAACTGCTGAAATTTGAGTTGATCGTTTGCGACCAAACCTGCAAGAGAAAAAGAAGAAGAAAATTCAACTTTATGGATAGACAGTAGACCCTGTTACTGAACAGTGAATAATTGCCATTTCATCAATGCATAAAAGGACTTAGCATTAAGATGATCACAGTTTGATAATTATTCTTCATATCATAGACTCATTTTTTTTAACTGTATGAAATACTCACGATTCAGCAAAAGGTCCAAATATGAGGGAACCAAAAATAACGCCAACCATGAACATTGCTTGTATCAATTCCATCAAGTTAGCTCTGTCACAAACTAGATCAAACTGTTAAAAATAAACACATAAATGTTTCAATTAAATAACTCATGAAGTTAATTTGTTAATTTAATATCATAATTCTGCTTGAATACACTACTATAAGCTACTTACATCAGTAACTATGGTGGCTTCGTACAGCATGTTGGAGTACACCCATCCATTCTGGCACCCTCTGGTCTCATTGAGTCCGTACTCCCTGATGGAACCAATAGACCAGTTCACAGGGACAAACATCTGACACTTGCTGAAGGTCCCGTCATCCTCTCGGGGCAGAGTCAGGTTCAGCTGCTCATCTGTGGTCAGGTTAGAGTCTGCCCGAAGGATCCAGTCCGTGTTACAGTGTCTATCTGGATCCGACTCAATAAATACAAAGCTTGCCATGACAAAAGACTGCAGGAAATTTGGAAGGCAAAGTGCAATCAAAGTGATCTGCTGGAATAAACCAAATTCTCCAATGTTCTTCAGGATCTCTCCGAAATCTGCCATGTTGATGACTGTTAGGTAGTTCTCAGGGTGTGACTGCAGGGGAGCTCCTCTTAATAAGAGATGAGTGTCTTTGTGTTGGTTCAAAAGTACTGCGCCACAAGTTTGTAAAAACATCCATTAATGTTTAACTGGCCATATAACATTTAAGACCGCGGCAAGGCAAGGCAAGGCAAAGCAAGGCAAGGCAAGTTTATTTATATAGCACCTTTCAACACAAGGCAATTCAAAGTGCTTTACAAAAATGAAAGATATTAAGAAAATGGCATTAAAAAGTAAAGATAATAAAATAAACATTCAAAGCAAAAATAGATGAATTAAAGTTACAGTGCAGTGTAAGATGTGAATAGTTCAATTAAAAGCAGCGGCAAAACGAAAAGTCTTCAGCCTTGATTTAAAAGTAGTAAGAGTTGCAGCGGACCTGCAGGTTTTTGGGAGTTTGTTCCAGATATTTGGAGCATAATAACTGAACGCTGCTTCTCCATGTTTAGTTCTGACTCTGGGGACAGAAAGCTGACCAGTCCCTGAAGACCTGAGAGATTTGGATGGTTCATCATTAAACAGCAGGTCAGAAAAGTATTTTGGGCCTAACCATTCAATGTTTTATAAACCAGCAGCAGTATTTTGAAATCAATTATTTGACACACAGGAAGCCAGTGTAAAAACTTCAGAACAGGAGTGATGTGATCCACTTTCTTAGTGTTAGTGAGTACTCAAGCAGCGGCGTTCTGAATCAGCTGCAGCTTTCTAATGGATTTTTTAGTGAGACCTGTGAAGACACCATTACAGTAGTCCAGTCTACTGAAGATAAAAGCATGGACAAGTTTTTCCAAATCCTGCTGTGACATTAGTCTTTTAATCCTAGACATCTTCTTTAGGTGATAGCAGGCTGATTTAGTAACTGTTTTAATGTGACTGTTGAAACTCAGGTCAGAGTCCATGACTACACCTAGATTTCTGGCTCCATCTGTTGTTTTGAACATTGCAGACTGAAGCTCAGCGCTAACTTTTATACATTCTGCCTTGGCTCCAAAAACCATTACCTCAGTTTTATCTTTGTTTAATTGGAGAAAGTTCTGACACATCCAGTCATTGATTTGTTCAATGCACTTACTCAGTGTTTGAATTGGAGCATACCCAGCTAGCGGGGAACGTTCTCACAACTTTTGTTTAACGTTACCTATTGGTTCTAACAAGGTTTTAAAGAAATGTTTTAATCTGATGTTCAAATAACCTTTTTAGGATGTTTATTTGTTCAAATAATGTTCCTATAAGGTTTAAGTAACCTTAAACCTTATAGGAACATTATTTGAACAAATAAACATCCTAAAAAGGTTATTTGAACATCAGATTAAAACATTTCTTTAAAACCTTGTTAGAACCAATNCATGAGAGAAAGCCGTTTGCTATAAAAATACCTTAATTTACATGATAACAATTATGAAGATATTTCTCCAAGCAACATCTGGAAAAATGTTCAGGATGTGATTGAGGCTGAGATGACAGAAAGGTGTTTATAAATTTCCTTTAAATGTGATAGTGACACAAATGGTGGATACGTTTTGGCGTTCCTATAGATGTGTTTCGGACGGTGTGGGTAACACATTAAAGAGGTTCTTTATAAAACGTGTCCCGTCAGATGTTACATGATAGATCGATGTATGAAGATATTCTACATCTCCTAAAGTATTAACCATTCTGAATTAATTGTTTTTCATTGTGGAGTTATGTTCGTTTTCTGGTATAAAACGTTCCTTTTTTCTCTTATGCTTAATATTTAACACGGGTTCATGGTCAACGTTCTGTATTTTATTATTTATAGCTGTTAATTATATGATCAACTGTTTGCTTAGTTGTTTGAATAATGTGGTATTGTTATTTATATATATTAATCTGATTGTCTCTTATATATATTTTGTTTTCTCTCTGTATAAAAAACAAACTTATATCATCTTAATCTATTGTTATTAACTAGCTGTAAGCAGATATGCATGTTGCTGGTGCATGTGTGCAGTTCCCAGGTAGAAATGTTGTACCCATTCGTTGTTCTAGAATGTTTTTCAGCGGGACGTTTTATTTTGCGTTCCCCAGAATTTCTGAACGTAGTGGATTATTATCGTCTCTATATAGGACATCTTACATTTTTTGTATAAGCTTCTTAATAAAAACGATGTAGAGCGCTATTGAGGACAGATGAAGTTAGACGTTATAATAACGAATTTATGCATGGCCAATATTCACTCCACATGCACCTCTATAAATCAGTGACGAAGTATGTTGCCCAAGAGTATCAGGAATATCAGAGTGTAAAATATCAGCAAAAGAGAGCACACTTTTTGTCTGCACTCATAAAGTGTGTCTCGTAGTAGGTTCTTAACTGTTAGAAGCTATCGTGCTGCCGTGGTGTGTGTTTGTGAGGCTGCGTATAAACAGTGTCCGCTGTTTATGCATATTGGATAAAATCGTTATTGCACCCTTTAGATTTGAGACCGACAGGCATATATAGAGGAACGGACCGACTGTCACTGCCCGTCCCTGAAACCCCTGTTAGTGTTTTGCCTGCAACATACTAAGGATGTGCCTGCTGGTCTGCTCTACACGGCTGGGAGCCATCTCCAATCAACCACACCTGCAACCTGCTCATCAGCCACACTATGAAAGCCTGCAGCCTGCACTCATTCCCTGCCGGATTGTTGCTGTGAACGGTTTGTTGCGTGCCACTCAAGCTTTTTACCAGCATATTCTTTGACAACTTTGCCTGCTTTTGCCTCAGTCATTTTTATGTCTCTCCCAGGAGGAATCCAAGGCCTTCCACACTCCCAAGACCAGCCAGGCCTCTCTACCCACCCTGGAACAACTGTTTCCCACTGCCGCCATAACCAACCTCCACTCCCAGCTCCCCTTTTCTAATAAACAAATGTTACTTTCACCAGCTGATTCCGTGTCATCCTTTTACATGTGTTAATAGTCAAATTCCAATAGTTAAGTAAACTATCATAATCATCCTAATGACCACAGTGGTCAGTCCACTTACCCAGGAATTTTGAGTTGAACAATTACAGGAATATTATGTCTTTATGTTCAAATAATGTAAACATATTTTAGTAAATTGTTACCATAGAACATTTGTATAATTTCTTTAACATAAACCATGTTATCCTTCTCTAAAATAATAACATTCTGGCAACATAAAAAATCTAACTTGCAGCTGGAAATGTTTTAAGAACAGTAGGGCATAATGTTCTAACAATGTTATCAAAAACATTTTAAGAAGGTTATTACCAAACATTTTAAGAATGTTTTTAGAGAGCGTTATCCTACCTTTCAGAAGAACATTCTGGGAACCAAAATAAAAGCTTCTGCTGAAAACGTTTTAAGAACAGTAGGGCATAATGTTCTAACAATGTTTTCAAAAACATTTTAAGAAGGTTATCACCAAACATTTTAAGAATGTGTTTAGAGAGCGTTATCCTACCTTTCAGAAGAACATTCTGGGAACCAAACAAAAACTTCCTGCTGAAAACTTTTTAAGAATAGGAGGGCATAATGTTCTAACAATGTTATCACCAAACATTTTAAGAATTCTTTTAGAGAACGTTATCCTACCTTTCAGAAGAACGTTCTGGGAACCAAACAAAAACTTCCCGCTGAAAACCTTCCTAGAACAATGACTGTAACATTCTCAGAATGTTTTTAGAACCAAATATTTCTAGCTGGGTAGGCACTTATTGCAAGTCACGTTGAAATAAAATGTAATGTAATGAAAATAAACTAAACCAATCACATTCCCGAGAGATGAAACATAAGTCACCACAATTTAAATAGATAAATAACTACATAGCTTCACTTTAGAAGCCATAATATCAGAGCCCAGCAGTATGTAAAGCAGGAAATCCAGCAGAGCTGTGATGCCGACTGACTTCCTCATTATGAACTAATCACCTGAAACAAAAAGCCCTTATTTCACATGAGGTACTGACCATTTTCGTCTGGCTCATGCTTCTGGATTATGTTTTGTGCATCAGCCAGCGTTGCGTCCTCCCTCTGTTCTTTCTTCAGGAAGTCCACCAGGTTCTGAGGACTCATAAAGCCCGACGTTTTAGCGTACTCCCCATAGATCACGTCTATTTCCTCCCGATGAGTCAACAGGTCATAGAAATGTTTGATCTCCTCTCCGGCCAGGTACCCAGAATTGGATTTGTCGCATTTCTGTAATATGGAAATGTATTATGAATGCAGTAAAAAGGGATCTTATTAGTAAAACAATGGAAAGACGTTAACAGGAATAGTTTTTTAAGTATTTTATCCACATTGATAACGTTACCTTGTGGTATAATCATAAACATTTGTTGTTTTAAGATTATGTAATGAGTATTTTTGACACTCATACATGGTCTGCAGCCAAGACAAGGCAGAGAACATGTGCTGCCAACTCTACCTGGTGGCTCTAAATTATAAATGTTTATCTATTTATGGGCACTATGGTGAGGCCTTTAATGTTTTTATGGCTCCTAAGGATATTTACTTAAGATTTGTTTTTTTCTGAATAATTTAAAATATCCGAAGGCATCACCTCAAAGAGTATCTCAGCGTAGTCGTCATCCACCTCGATGTTAATCAGATGCATGAAGTTCTTGAGCTCTGAGAGACTCAGCTTATCGTCTTTGTTCTTGTCCGATTTCCTGAGGCAGCTGAAGATCCAACTGAAAAGTTTGTCATGTAAGGATACAACGCCATCTTTCTGTCTGCAATCAACTCATTTACCACAGAGAAACATCCACAGTCAAACCTGTAGTAACTTCAAAAGGATACTGCTCCATCTTCGCCTGGGTGCTGAGGTTGTTTATGCTAGACAGTATTTTCTGCAGGCTGTCGACCCACTGCCTGGCCTCGTCCTCGGAGCTAGCGATGAGGTCCAGGTTCTTGCGGCGGCCCTTGAACATGATGGAGAAACAGCGGCTCTCCACGTTCTCCTCCGTGTTCTTCCTCAGGCCATCTGACTGACGTCCCATTCGCACCGCTGAGATTTCATCGACCAAAACTGAAGAAAGAGTTTTATCTTACAATGGAAATTGTATGAGAATCACCTTATTTATTAAGCATTTAATTAATCTGAAGTACTTTTGGTAATGAGGGCATCACAATCTTTGTGTAGAAAAGTCTAACCATAGACAGGGGTCTCGAATTAGACTTGGCTAGAAACCCTACATGCAGAACATCTTCGCCAAATTATTTTTAACCTGTTAGATAATAGAAACCTGACAAAAAAACGAATTAATAAAAGAAAATTCCAGGATATCATTTAGAAAATAATATTCTGCCATAGGACTTATACAATATTATTTTGTACTACGAAAAGGGAAGTACTTTTAGTGTCTTCAGGTACCGCAGACCAGCCTTTTTGGTAAACAAAAACCTGATGTTTGCAGATTACTGACGTCACATGACAAGCTTATAGGACCTGCAATTTAACAGCTGCTTTACACGCGGCCATAGAAAAAAAAAAGACATCACCTTACTGCCGTTATCAAACTGAGACTTGATGAAAACGTGGATGTGATCCAGGGCATATAGCGAGAGCCATAACAACCACTCCTTCAAACACTATAAAAAAAATCCCTATCTTGATAAACACACCCACAAAACATATCCCTCCTATCATGAGCAATACAGTTGTGTCTGATAATACAATGGACTCTTAGACATAGTCTTTTATAGCCTTGTGATCACTCCTTCACTTTTATAATACATTAAGGAAAAATCTCATCTGAGAAAAGACGGTCATACTTGTCTCAGCACAGGAGACACAAAAGGTATAAATAAATAAGACTTGGACACGTGTCCACCACAACACCACACAGATGTGTGCAAGTTTCATGTGTGTGTCTCACACACATGAAGGTGGGAAGCTGGTACTGCAGCAGCACTCACAGGTCTTGCTTGTCTTGAAGGTTCTCTTTGATTCCCGGAACATGGTCTTACAGTCCTCCATGAGTCTGAAGTAGCGGGTCTTTTTCCAGGATGAGGAGCGGACCTTAAGGAGGTCTCCCCCCTGCAGGAGGAACTGGAGGTCCCTATCATTCTCCAGACCTGTTTAACAGAGTAGCAGAGAGTACAATCCATAAGATTAAACACTTCATTTCTGCAAACTTACTCAGCTCAAACCCATTTACTCAATGAACTCAACTCAAACCTTAAACTGTTCTTATCTTCTTGATTACAATCATCTCATCGGAAAACTGCATGTGAATTTACGAAACCACAAGCAACAAATCTGGCTGATTAAAAGCCCTTTACCATGCAAAGTTGTACAGCCTTACACAATAAAACAAGCTGAGATATGTGACAACAAAGCATGTAGTTTGACCCTGGATGGGTCACATCTGTTACTAAAAGATCCTTAAAATATTTGCAGTGCAGCATACCTAATAGCTTTAGGTTAATTTGTATCTCCTCCTGGCTTTTGGCATAGCGCAGTAATTCCTCAGATCTGCTGAGTTTGGGTCGGCTTTGCAGGCAGCTCATGTTGCCCTGAGGTGCTGATACAAATGGACTGTGTTTCCAAAGGGACAGACCAGTGTGTGGAAGGGCGTGTATCAGGCTGCCCCTTTCAAAGTTCACTCTATCTGTCAGCTGAGCCAGGCAGCGGCCATGTGTAATGTTACACACCATGGCAAGAGGAGGGGGTTTAAAACCTCCATTCAGCTTGTGCTAAATGATGGTATACTCAAGTAATTTTATAGCACATTTAAGGGAAACAAGTTAACCTATTTTGACGGCAATTTGAAAACACCAAAGACCCTATAGTTAAAGTGAAAAAATATCCAGGCAGGGAAGATAATGAAAGGATTTTCTATAGTTTAGTTGTGTGTTGGGGAACCCAATTTTTATAAGAACTACCAAATACTTTTAAAAAAAAGAAAGCGTTATATAATACTACAGTTTGGTTTACTAAAGGCAAGCTAGTTAGAAACAGTAGTTAAGTTATTGTTGACTTCATGTGAACAAAAAATATATAATACAATCTTATACTATATATACAATAATAAATAAAAGATCCAACTCAATAGGTCTATTTTAATAAACGATCCACTTGTTCAAAGTTCATAGGCCCCCGCAAACCACAAAAAAATACCTTACTAAAACAAAAACTTATATTTAAATTAAAGGTGTAGTGGGCCGGTCAAAGTAGTTTAATTGTAGAACTATAGTGAATACAAACCTAATGACTTTATCTTATTTCCTAAAATAGTTTGTAGTGTCAGAAACGTTAGCAAAATGTAGCAATGCATCAGGGCAATAATCCCAGTTTACATGTCACTGATGTTAGCTTCATCAGAAAGAAATACATCATATATTTAAAGTGTGTGAGTCCATCTCATCATTGATAAAGTTGAACAAATTATATAACATTTTAACAATGGTTTTAATAAGTTTTCGCGTGGTATAAAGTTACTGCTTAATACTGTGCATCCACAACTGCCAAAAGAACAAGTGAGAATGTTCCTTTATAATTAAAGAACTGGGATCCTGTGTTTTAACTCTCGGGATCCATCCAGTGGTGACATAGCGGTACTGTCAGGTGTTGTGATTTAACCTGATTTACTCACTTTAACCCACCCCCGAAGACAACAAGAGGGTTAAAAAGCGTGCTAATAAACCGGCCATTTTCTACAAACACAGTTAATTCTGAGGAGAGAAATGTGAGCCGTTTCGATAACAGTGTTTGCAGTAGGGGTTTGTTTGTATTCAACTGTGAGCAACACTTTTCTTTGAAGCATGCAGGTGAAACAACTAGGCTGCCACACCTTTTGGCACAGTATAACCAATCTTAAGCATCTGCATGTGATCTTAATTCAGCCAGTTTCTATCAAAGTGTTGATTGCAAACATTTAAAATGTAAGAAATTATAAACACCCATTGCAATTTACTTCCACACCATTTTGAACAAACTTCAATTAGCAAAATCAAACAAAAAAAGCGTCCTACCGTTGTTTTTATTTTCAATCCTGTTCGTTTCCATGCTTTCTGTATTGTATCGGTTTTTTACACAGTTAGATTTTAGTCCTCCTTTTACTTGATCATCTAAAGTTGTTCCTTCTTTCCATGTGCGCGATGAGTGAAGGACACTTTGAGTTTGGGATGGTTAACTCGAGTGTTAGGACAACACAGGTACCTTTCTCCCTGGCAGTGAATAATGTCAGCACGCCTGCAAGCTCCAACACCGGTTTGACAAGCCAGCCCTACTGATGTCACAACAGGTTAGGTTACACCTTAGTCTTAACATAGACTTACAGCAGTTAAAGCAGGCCACACTGGTGTTTCTGAGCACCTGCTGACAGGTAAGGAAGCCTTATTATAATGCTGCTCTGTCAAACACTTCCAGGTATCAGTTCCTCACCCAAACTCTAGATGTGAGAAAGAGGGGAAGTTCACCTGAGAACCGCCCATAAGATCAGGTTTTCTAATAAATACTCATATAGTGTGGAGTGGACATTTCCAAGCACTTCCTGTTGACTATGGCTTTGGCTGTGTTGTGTTTTTATGCAGGCACCTGTTCCTCATTTGAACACAAGGTAAACACGATGAAGAAGGCTGCACAGCAGACTTGGCTAGCTGCCCGGACACACAGTTCACAGTGAATTGGAGCATATTGGTTACACTGAATGGGACAGATGATTTTTTTTTTCTCCTCTCCTTTTCATGTGCAGCTTAGCCTTGGCAGGATAATAGCACTGCAATCACTGCTGTGTTGGGGCTCTTGTGGCTCTCAGCACTTCCCTTTCAGGCCTGGCTTATCCTCAGCGCACTGTCAGCATCAGGATGAGTGAGCTTTAATGCAGCATCAGGGGGAGAGCTTCCGGGCAAAGACTGACCACTTACAACAAACCCCACAAGGTTCAGAGAAACATGCAGGAAAACATGTGCAACAGACTACTTTATTGCACAATAATCTCAAACAGGACATTTGGCTTTTGTCCCTTTTCTGACTAGTTTGTATGCAATCCTTGTCTTTGTCCGAGGTCTTGCAGAAGAACAAAGAACTCCATCTGCATGGCAAAACTAGTCGATGTGTTTTTGGTAGACCAGGAGATGACCTTTTGCAGCAAAGATGTGTGTATCAGCCTTACAGTATATGGTGTCAGTGCATGAAATGTCTCACAAAATACTTCAATGCACTGCAGACAAACAATGGTGAGAGACTAACTTTATGGTGAAGTCTGTGCCTTTGCTGGGTCTCTCTGCTTGTTCAACAAGTAAGAACAGGCCCTTCTAACACACTCCTACCCAGTGTTTAATAGCTTTATGGGATGCAATATAACACACTGTGTGTGATACAGGTTTATCACAAAAGATGATTGAAGTTACAACAATGGCACTCAATTGAGTTGATTTCAAAAAGTGATCTGTCTTTCACGGGTCCAAATCATTAAATACCCAACAAAGAAAAAGGAGATGAACTGGTCAATGGGTTCTAAACAGTAGACAAGCAAAGGTATATAAAAAGAAATGTTGCTCCTTTTATTGCCCACAATATACAGATAACAACACAACAAAAGGTAAAAAAGTCATTTAGATACTTGAATCACTTTGAAAAATAAAGATGAACTACCAGCCATCTACTGCAAACCTGGTTAACCTTCTACATTAACTTCACTAATCACCAACCCTACCATCCTTTGCTGCCTCTCCCAAAACATCCTCAAGTCTCATGGCACTGAGTCAGTGACATGGATTATGCAATACCTGGGTTACAAAAGGATAAAGCCCAAAGAGGAAGTAACATCGGAAACAATAAATACAAAGACAATAAACAACTGTCTTAAGTGTATGAATACTGCATGATTGACGCTTTACGTTCCGAATTACAAAAAGGAAATTAAAGGATTCAATTAGCCTGAAAAGTAGCTTAGTTACTTATCCTTTTCCTAAAAAAATACAACGGTTGTATAATAAAATCAAGCGTGATAGACCACCTACTACACAGCATCATACAAAACAATTAAGATCAGCCACCTCGCCCAGCTATAACATCTATCTAAATGTAAATGTAGTACGACACTGACATAATTTGGAATAATGGCATAATTCATACCATTTTCACTTTTTGAATGCAATGCCTTTACTTGTCATTGCTATTTTACTTGAATAAATGACCAGAACAAGACTCCCACCTATGGTATTTCCTATATACTTTTTAAGACTAATCTAAATTATCCCCTTCAAAAAGTAATGTATCTAGCATTAGCGCCCTCTATTGGATATACTCAGCACACTTGCAAGAGAGGAACATAAGAATATCCATTTATTACTGTCGTCAACCTTTTTTGTATCGTGTTTCCGAATTGTAGGAACTTTTAGCAGACTTTGCCACACTCAACATGGCGATGTCTCCGTCCCTCGCTCTCACTGAGTTCGTACGTAACACACTGCGTCAGTCGTGCGTAAGGTTGTGTTGACAAGAGCGGTAGGAGTTGTCAGCGGAACAGCATCAGCCAGCATCACCGGAGCCGAATGGAGTAACCACAAATATAATATTCCAGACAGCGTCTCTGTTCCTCTTTAGAAGCAGTGTTTACACATTTCAAACAACGACACCATGGCAGACGACCAGGCCTCTCAATCCTGGACCATCGACAGGGATGACTACGAACTCAATGAGGTGATTGGTGAGTAGCTTAGCTTGCTAAAGCTAGCACCCTAGCCTCCCCTGTCTCTACAGCGGCTGCCACTAGCCAAACTAGCCGAGTAGCATTGCATGTCTTTAGCTAACAGAAGGCCAGTTCCAGCCCGTAGCTACATGGCAGGAAGGTTAACAGCTCTGCAGAGTCTCCATATAGCAAGGCCACATTATTTAATTAGGTTTCTGCTCGTTGGCGAGCTGTGGTGGCTGCCTAGCAAGTTAGCATGGAGCTAAACGGCTAGCTAACGCGTTTAGTCTGTAGTGCGTTAAGAGTCGTTAGTAGTTGGGGAGGGTGGTGCTCTTTGCTGAAGGTAGGACACGGATTACAGTGAGCCATTCATGCTTTAGTCCAGGTACCGTGACTAATGGCTTTGATCAAAAGAGTTAAGACTGCATATTACAGTAGTGTATAATACTGTACAATTCCTTAGTCCTCGATAATAGAAACTACTCAAATTCAGCAGATTCTCATACACATTTAGTTGAGCTTTCAGGCTGTGAAGGCTCCTACAGTGAGAGGGTTTCACACTTTATGTTGTTCTCAGGGAGTGGAGCCACTGCAGTCGTCCAGGCAGCGTACTGCAAGCCGAGAAAGGAGAAGGTGGCCATCAAACGCATCAACCTGGAGAAATGTCAAACCAGCATGGATGAGCTCCTGGTAAGGACCTGTGTCAGTTTGTGAGCCAGTATCTGCAGTCCAGATTTTCTTTACGTCACATTGTTGGGAGTGGTGTGGGGTTAGATTAGTCAAGGACAGATCAAAAGCTTGATACCACAAGAACCACCAAGTGCTAAAACTGAGTCAAATCAATAATACAAATAGATTGTGAATGCAAATTTAAATTATATATTATTTTGAACAATACCATGAAGCACAAGTCCTAATAATTATTTACAACACTGATCAGTTATAGGCATAAATAGGATAAGTATTAAAGATATGGCTACTTTTTTACAAGTTGGATCTCTTCTGGTTGATGCCTCTATCTAATGATGTCTCTATCAAATAGAGACATCATTATATAAATAGCTTACTTTGTTTACATTTTGAGCGTATATTCTTCAGATTTGCAACAGTGGAACTAATTTGCATGAACTTAAAGGTTGAGTGTGTAAGATTTATTTAAACCAACAAAATACACCTGGTAGTGAGACCTTTTTCTTTTTGTTATTAGGATCCCCATTAGCACTAGCATAAGCATCGGCTATTCTTCCTGGGGTTCGCACTCATAAGGTCATACTTACTCTTACTTAACAATCAAGTATAGTCAACAACCATTAAGTCGAACACAACATTGACAATGCCTCAAGAACACACTTCTACTACAAATAAACAATAATTTATAACAGACATGAGTCCTTGTCTGTAATGACCCAAAATTTATATTTATATATCCTGCACTTTCATACAAATAACTTGAAAGAAAATAGGATATAAAAAAAAACAAGTGTAGTTCTGATCCAACAAAAGCAATTCTTAGTTTCAGGTGAATATTCACTAATTCAATCATTGTCATAGATATTATATTCAATGTCCTCTAATACATTCCCTCTTTATCCTACACTCTGCCTCTCATAAGGGAAATATTCATTTCTCATCATTCAAGCTCCATTGTTGCTTTCAAAGGACTGTCACATAGTGTCATTGCAATATACGCTATCTGAGTTATTTCTTTACATCGCCCTTTCTCTCTGGACTTCACCTTTGTCATTCATGTCTTAACGGCTTAGTGGTGATGTAATGCAGGTAACTCCGCCGTCTGGGTCTCTGTTACTCCTGCTTTAGGATTGACACTGAGATCCGGCGTGACGGAGCTGCTGAAGTATAACATCAATATTTGGTTAGTGATTTGCTTTGTACCGTAACAGCTCCCTGTGTGACCGTGTATCCCTTTCTTCCTCCTCCGTGCAGAAAGAGATCCAGGCCATGAGCCAGTGCCACCACCCGAACATCGTGTCTTATTATACCTCCTTTGTGGTGAAGGATGAGCTGTGGCTGGTGATGAAGCTGCTCAGTGGAGGTTAGTGCTTTCAAGAACGGTTGCTTCTGACTTGGCTAACTCTTATCTTCACCGTGACTTTGATTCTCTTTGTCATACCTCATTACTAGTTTTTTGAAAAGACCACAAATGATCCTCAGCTTGAACTTTGACTAAAGGTTTGGTAAGTCACCAGAGAGCAGTTTGACATATTCTGGATAACGGGCTACACGAACCGACTTGACGTAACACTGAGATCATTCTAAAACAGCTACAATGTTGTACAGTTTATATAACATTAATGTTTACATCCTATCTTTATATCTATATAACTACCTAAATCCAAATTTGTGTATACTCCTGTGGGAATTGACTTGACATAATCATTTGTATTAAGATCATAAATGCAAATAAACAGGCAAAACTCTAAAGAAAAATTCAATGGATACAGTCATTGCCTTATCTTATCTAAATATACCTGTTAAGATAGAGGCAATATAAATCACCAACAGCTGTCAAATGCAGCACTGGTTTTTTATACTGATTGTGGACCCAACCCACAAGTAACTTGCACTTCAGACTATTTTGTTAACACTTTATGTCATATAACAGAGATACTGTTCATACATAAGGTTTCATAAACAAAACATTGGAAACGTATCTCTGTGTGTTGTTAGATGTAGAAAGGAAAAACTCACATTACAGTTATTGACAACAAATAGCCTGCACTCAAAATATTCCTGCACAGAGGACCGGCATGTGTCAACATTTTAGATAAGGGTTTTTGGTGTGTATCAAACTTTGTGTAGCCAAACAGAAGTAAGAGCTAAGTTGTGTCCTCTACATGTTAACCAAACCGCGCATCTCGAGCCACGATTAGAATTTTAAACTTCGTCTAAATTGCCTACATTTTGCCGTAATAAAGTTAGTTTGTTGATTTCAACATTGGGATTGAAACAATATAGAAACATTTCCATCAGAGAGACATTTTTATAAAGTTTTGACGCTCTACATAAAAATAGTAATATCACCTATCCCTTCTTTAAGCTGCATTCACTTGGATTTAGTTTTGTTTACGAACCACCACCAGATAAATGCCAGTCATTTGAACTACTCGCCAAACTGGAGAACCCCTCCTCCTATCATCAGCCTTATTTATGACGGATCCTCTGCCTCTCCCTCAGGCTCAGTGTTGGACATCATCAAGCATATCATCTCTCGCGGCGAGCACAAGACCGGAGTGTTGGACGAGGCTAGCATTGCCAGTATCCTGAAAGAAGTCTTGGAGGGGCTGGAGTACCTTCACAAAAACGGGCAGATTCACCGGTGAGTTCTGATGATGTGTGTGCAGGCTGCAACACAACCGCTGTGTTATCACTGCACTCTGTGTTCATCACTCACTCCTCCCTCTGCTCACTCAGACTTTCATCTCTGCATATAAGCGCGTGGCTTGAACTCGCTGCTTCAATATTTAATACAGTGTAAATGTATAATTGAACAGGTTTGTTTTGCATAAATGCCCCGCTCAGGAACACTGAACTACCTGCTGAGAAAAAAGCCTCACTGTCAAGTTGTTTCAAATGAACAGCTCATTTCAACTGTCTTGGTCATAGTTTAAAAATCAAGATGTGTCTCTTTGGATAAGTCCAATTATCACTTGATTTGCTGATGTTTTAATTGCATTTAGTGCGCAGCTTTTCATTAGACGGAGAGAGCAGCTGCTGATTCTAACTCACTTATACCTAAGCAGGAGAGAAAGAGGGCTTGTGAAAGGTTGAGGCCGGGCTAATCCATTCCCGTCTTTGTGCATACTTTTGCAAACAGAAATCAGGTGGATTAAAATGGGGAAGATCAAAGGTACATGTTCGAGCACATGAGTGAAGAGTTAATTTGAGTCACGGTGCACAGCCTCACCACTCCCCTTTGTCTGCTGATTCATTCCTACTAAGAACCAGAATGAACACACATACACACATTTTTGTAACTTTGCCTTACTTGAAACTTCCGTTGTATGTTTATAAAGTATAACCATGAACATATTAGGATTTTAGCCTTAACAGACTATTTACAGGCAAAACAAACCATATAACACACAACAGGAAAGGGCAAACCCTGAAAAAGCATAAAAGGGTCTCTTTAAGGCCTATTATAAAGATGAATTATCTATCAATACTATGTCAATACCAATCGATTTATTTTAAACCATTAATTAGTGTCTATATACACAAATGTAAAGGTGTGTGTATTCAATTTTAAGAACTCCCAATTAATTTCAATATAATATAAATAAATGTTTCTTGGGTTTTTCCTAATGGTCTTAATAGAATCAGAATTCCTTTAGAAGTACCACATCGACAAATAAGTACACGACCATGGCTAGAAGACTAGTAACAGTTTAAAGTGACATAAATAACATATGAAAGTAATCAGACCTTATACAAATAAAACTGATGGGACATTTCTTTCTAATATGTCAATACATTTGTCGTCTTTTAGAAATAAACCTACTGATATTGTCTCAAAACGATGATTTAACAAGAAATGCACATGTGTGTAAATGTGATCACGATGATAATTGTTGCATCTCGTGTTTTGATTCTCTTGGTCTTCCTTCACAGGGATCTAAAAGCTGGAAACATCCTTCTTGGTGACGATGGCTTTGTGCAAATTGCTGGTACATATATATATATATATATATATTTGACCATATTTCTTTCTGTGCTTCTGCTTAGTTACAGCTTGAAGTCCCTTTGTAGACAGTCTCTGTTTGTAAGTTTAAAATGTTGGTACAGTATCTAGCTTAACGGACAATGTCCTCATTGTTTCAGTCTGTAAATGTAAAATGACAGGCCTTTTTTGTGGGAGATTACTAGTCTAAATATTGAAGTGGATTTCCTCATCTTTTTCTCCCTCTCATACATTCCCAATCCTTCTCCAGACTTCGGTGTGAGTGCCTTTCTATCAGCTGGAGGAGACATGACCAGGAACAAGGTCCGGAAGACGTTTGTGGGGACGCCGTGCTGGATGGCGCCCGAGGTCATGGAGCAGGTAAAGGAGGCTTGTTTCCTAGATCTGTTTTCTCTCAGTAATGCCTGATAACCTCGGTGATGAAAGAATGACTGGGCAGCTTTGTTCACTCGCTTCTGTTTTTAACCCGCAGGTCCGCGGCTACGATTTCAAAGCCGACATCTGGAGTTTCGGGATAACAGCCATCGAACTGGCCACTGGGGCTGCACCATATCACAAATACCCACCGATGAAGGTAACTTTGTGTGTGCGCGCACTGGTATCTTACTGAATGTCAGGTATCTACTTTCACATTTAGTGTTGCTGGCTACAGCGGTCTGCTTGATCAACTGAAATGTTTAGCTTTGTTTTACAGTAAAGATGAATTCAGACATCATTTGCAACGCAAGGAAAGAGACTGTAGACTGTTGCAGTGACTGGCTGGAAAAGCTAATGTCCTTAAGATATGATATGTAAAATGTCTGCGTTTAAATGTCTAAAAATTACTAAACCTATCTTCGAAATGTTATTGAGTTATGAATTTACATTATCCCACATTTTCCAACCATTTTAATACCCAGAGGAAAGGAAAATTGACAGTTTCATTTGGTCGCTTTTAGTTGCGACCAAATTGTCAGTGTTTATCTGCAGGAAGTGGTTTTGCTTCGATACAATTTTAAATCATTGTCATTCTTAAGTTTATAGTTTTTCCAGATTAAGGATTTAAGATATCTTTATCTTAATTATCAGGGAAAGAAAAAAAAAAAATAAGCCAATGTTAGCCTTTAGCTAGTTGCCGATTCCTGTCCATTTGATTAATAAAAGAGGGGACCACTGCAGATCATTTGGCTCCTTATTCAAACTTCTTGAACTGATGCTGAAACCCTGCCTGCATTTACCATATTCCACGACCCAACGTCTCTTCTCTTCACCACCAAACTCAATCTTTTGGTTTTCTTTTCTATTTAAAGGAAACCAGACATTATGCGTTTATTTCCAAATAAACTTTTGGACTCCATTTCTTCCTGTTTTTGATAAAAGTTGACTCCTTTATGAATCAACATCATTTGACTGAAACCCACCTCTGTGTGCCTGCAGGTGCTGATGCTGACTCTGCAGAACGACCCTCCCTGTCTGGAGACAGGCATCACAGACAAGGATATGGTGAAGAAGTATGGCAAGTCCTTCCGGAAGATGCTCTCTCTGTGTTTACAGAAAGATCCAGAAAAAAGGTCAGTTAGTCCTCATGCCTTTTTTCTTCTCCCCTGACCAGATTAAAGCGGTGCTTGTTTTCTTTCCGTTAGATTCCCCAGTTGTGTAATGAATGTAATGAAGAGCCTTGTGTCTTCTCTCTCCTATTTAGACCAACTGCAGCCGAGCTGCTGAAGCATAAATTCTTCACTAAAGCCAAAGTGAGCCGTACTTCACTGTTATTAAAATAAACTGAAATATATATTTTGTGTTTCACAGAGTTTCTTGACAGTAAGACATTTTTTTTTTTTCTGTTACAGAACAACGAGTACTTGCAGGAGCGTCTTCTACACAAAGGTCCAACAATAACGGAGCGATCCAAAAAGGTTTGTCTTTACTAATATGAATGCACGCTAGTCTCTAAACCATTGTTTAATTGTTATGTTATTGTGTCTAGGCCATTTCCCAGCTGGAACCATGGGTGTATAAAGAGGACTGGTTACAGCGTTAGAAGCGGGGCCTTGTTCATTCCTATAAAAGTTTTTCAGTGTCGCATGAAGCCAAATATGGCCTGACTCAAGTACAAAAAAACCTGGATGAAGGAAAACATGTGCATTGTATTTCCTAAAGCCCTGCCTTCAATCTGCTCCATCACGCACCGTGTCGCCTCAGTCAAATTAATGAATGGGAAATTAGGGAAAGTAACTCTGGATTTGACTTTTAGCGCCTCACAACTTTGAGGACCTAATGATAAAAATGAGGGCTGTTCAATGTTTGTACTGTTAAGTAAACCTTTGTTTACTTAAAATGCACTTTACCGCCCGGCTCACTTCCTAGAGGCTTGGTATGAATGTGTCAATATCTTTTCATTAATTGTTTTCTCTGTTTAGGTCCGTCGTGTTCCCGGCTCCAGCGGCCGTCTCCACAAGACGGAGGACGGCAGCTGGGAGTGGAGCGACGACGAGCTGGACGAGGAGAGCGAGGAGGGCAAAGCTGCTGTGGCGGCTCTGCGGGTGAGACTCTGCATGCCTGTGTCTCCATACAGTCACCTCCTTTAACTTGTTAGGCCTATATTATGTGTTTGTCCATGCCTATTTACGGCCAACAGATGGTGCTGTAGGACTTCTAGTCTGAACATGTATTCTCCCTCATGCATCATCATAGAACAAGTTTAGGTTCCCTGAGCAAATAATCCAAGAATCGATCATGATCTGGAGAACTGAAACCGGCGTAGACCAATAATGGGCATCAGAGATTTATTGTTTATAAAAGTATTTCACTAAGGCAACACAAGGGAAGGCTGCTCCACTCATTGACTTTGTATTTTCTATATGCCAAGTGGACTTAAACGTTTAGTCATTTCATTTACTTTCATTTAAGTTCTTAAAAGAATATCGTCGTTTTTGGATTTAATTTAGTTTTTTATAACCTGTGGATATTCATTTAGTTTAATTGTTTTAATCTTAAATTATAATTATTTTAATATAAGAAAGTACATAGACAGTGCAGAATTCACGGTGTTGAATAAATGTTATATTTTATTTATTCATTTTTCGCTTAGAAATAAAGCCAATTTTGTCTCATTTGTTAATATTATTTAATTGCTGCATTTTATACCATACAAAAACCCCAGAAAAATCTATATGCATTATGTTTCTGTCCTCCTCACATATATTGCCATCAGCAATTGGATAAACCCTTATGAGTGGACCACTAATGAGAATAAGTAGACCAGACACCTGATCAGATCTCTTGTTCGTATTAAACTCCAACATTTCTTCACACTCAATTGATGTCTTGGTGCGGGATGTAACTGTCTGTTCTCTAAACGGTGATTTCAGTTTGACCCTGTGTTTGAAGTCCCGTTGTGTCAAATTCCTTCAATCCTACATCAGTCTGTACATTGGGGGGATAAAAGGAGTATTGCATGTTGTTAATCCTGACAATCTGTCATGTCCATTCTGCAGTCCCCCAGAGTGAAGGATGGCTCCGAGAATATGGAGGTGAGTCCTTTTGTAGTGGACATGACTTCAAAAGTGTGTGTGTGTGTGTGTGTGTGTGTGTGTGTGTGTGTGTGTGTGTGTGTGTGTGTGTGTGTGTGTGTGTGTGTTGTTAAACAACAAAAATACCCCGCTGATTTATTTTGCAATCGTGTGTCTTAGCTTTTCCCGCCAGCAGATGGCTCCTCACATCATCTGCAGCCCCCCGGTGCGGCACCCCAGCCGGGGGAGGAGGCTCCAGCGCCGGCTCCCACTCAGACAGGGAGCCCCTCACATGCACCCCCTGCTCAGGTAACAACACACTCCCAGGTTCTATCCGGTTCCATGAAACGCGTAAACATTCAAAGGCTTCTTGTTGTCATACGGACACTATTACATTTTGTATAGCTGACACTTTGCAGCCAGATTAGCTTTTAATAAGCCAAACCATTGTTATTCCTATGTAAGCCAATTCTTTCCAAGTGCTACTTAGAGAAGTGAACATTTTTTTTGGGCCAAGGTCCAGTTAAAACATTAACCCATTAACCCATGCTGCACCATTACGTTAAGTGTTTTTTAAAGGTATGCTGTGGTATTTTCTTGTCAACAAGCTAAAACTATATTGGTATGATTTGTTACCCACCATAAAAGCTTGCAGAGCAGATTCTTTAAAGTGCATTGTTTACATCAGTGTGACCTACATCTTCTTCTTCTTCTTCTTTACTGCCTTTGTTGCTGCATTAATATGTGCCATATTAACTAAAAAACTGGTGATCCAATTGTGAACATCTGGCTCCATATTGCTAACGGTTGTCAAAAACGACACAATGCACCTTTTTAAATGTAGCTTTCTATAAACTCCACATGCCTTGCTTTGTTAACTAGTTCACAATCACACTTCAAAATGCACGACAGCTCATTCAGATTGAAACAGTGTAGGATAAATGTGCATCATAACCATAGTCTAAACCCTAAACCACAGAAGTTAGAAATAGACCAAAAAGAAAGAAACCCTTTGCCCTGGTAAACAATGTAAATACTGACTACAGGGGTCATTTGAAAGCACATCATTCACATTGTCAGAGATAGGAATGTTTACACAGGGCTCGACATTAAGGACTGCCCGATGGCCCGGGGCCATCTAGTATTTAGCTCGGGCCATGAAGCCTCACCTGCTGGTTGCCCGATCGAGCAATCTATTATACCAGTATCATGCAGCTCGCGGATCCAGTAATGAGTGACCCGATAGTAAAACTAAACATATCTATAACTAATTTAGGTAGTTTGAGAGGTAATTAAAATAGCTACGAGTGTATTCTACCTGAAGTGTGGTGTTTTGTTCCGCTCACCGCTGCATGTGTCATGCAGAGCTGCCGTGTCGACTCGTCAGGCAACGTCTGATCTTCTCTCTCCGTCGATTAGACTTGACTCGCGTTTACTGTATATCGATCAGAACGCAGCTAGTTTTTAGTAATGATATGACTACTGTCTTATTAAAAGTCTATGTGTATCTAATCAATAGGTGTCGCTAGGCAACTGGTGAGGCCACCAAAGTATGTGCAGCACTTATGCATTTGTTACATGCCCACCGGCAACCCCGAGGCATTAGCAACAGACTCAAGCACAATAACCCCATACAGCAATCTCTTTTCGTCCACATTTGTCTTTGTGTGTACAGTGTAGGAGTGGTGAGCTACTCGGGTCGTGTCGGTACTTTCTTGTCTGTCCATAAGCTGG